TCCATGGGGTTCTTGCATTTAATACCATTTTATGATAGACATACACTGTTTTATTTCAAAAATAATAGTCTGATGCAAACATGGAAGATGACAACTCTTGCGAGGCTGTGGTAATAACTAATTGGTGCTAGTGCTTATTGTAAACTTTATGTGCTTGATCTGCTAACTAAAAACCATCAGTGCTGATAAGTTATGGTATTTTTTTTAATTGTCTTTACATCTTAGCAATTTTGCACAATCAAATCTGTGAACATGTAACACTGGGACTAATTTAAATTTGTATAATAAAATAAACATAATGGATAATAAAAGCTGTTTTTCTACTAAAACTTTGATATAATCAAAAGGCTCTAAATATCCAAATCTGAATATATATGTATATATTTCACATGGCTTTTGTTCCTCTACATTATTATACTGTTTGTGAACATTTAGCTCATTGTGGTCATTGCCTTGAAGAAAGCCCTTCATTAACCATTTTTCTGAATCATTTTCTGGGTAATCTCTGTATAAATGGACCATAATGAGCCGATTCTTTCCTAAATTACTGCGTGTTGTAATACTCGATTCATATATGATTCCTTGCGTGTTAGTTCAGCAATATTTATACAATATGAATATTGTACATTAGCAGTGATGGCTTATGACAGACATCTGACATTAGACTATCACTCAAAGCTGAACACATTTTCATGCTCATTCTTGTCAAATAGAATGACATTGTGAAACATTTAATATTGATAAATTGTGTAATTGTGACAACTGGTCGATGGTAAAACTCTCATGTGACCAATAAAACTCTGATCTCAGCATTTATATTTCATTTTATTTGGGCTTCTTTGCTGAAATTATTGTACCCTATGTAAAGCTTGCCATTGCATGTATAGCATCATTAGAGTTCAGAAGGACATTTTGGCAGACATGTGTGCCTCATATGGTTTCTTTGATAAACTTGACTATTGCAATTAGGGCTGTCAATAGATAAAAAAATTTAATCTAATTAATGACACCCTTTTTCTATGATTAATCGCACACTTCATGAAAGTAAGGATAGACCATTTATCTTGTTTCAAAACAAAACAGCAAAGTAAAACAAAAGATTGAAGATTGAGTCTCAAAAATCTGTATTTTCTGCAAGTTTTTCAAGATAAATTTAGATGTCTTTCCAAAAAAATGACTCCAAAAGAACTCCAAAAGGACACTAAAGAACCAAATGATATAAGGAGCTCATTTAAGCACATATGAAATTTTAAAAAATGCTAAAAAAAAAAAAAAATCAGAATTGTACAGTACAGTGCAACAGCAAAGAGCTTTTTTACATTTTAGAGAAGTTAAGCTGCGATAACCCTAAACCAATAGACTGCTGACTGCATACAGTATATCTAAAACAGTACACGGATCCATTCAGAATAACAAAACACAGCAACATACACATGGCAAATCAAAACATTATCGTGAATGTGCGTGGAAACGTGAATGTACGGAAATGTCTGTGCCTGTGCATAAATACAATGTGCGATCAGTGCGTCAAGAGCACTCATACACGCATTAATATAATGGACTCACGCGTGCTTCCTTGTACGCCACCGCAATCATCTTTACCTTGATTGCAGTCTTCATCCATCAAAACTTTACTACACTCTAAAAAATGCTGGGTTAAATACAACCCAGTGCTGGGTAAAATAGGGACAAACCCAGCAATTGGGTTGTTTTGACCCAGCGGTTGGGTTACTACCCAGAAAGTTGGGTTAAACATTTAACCCAACCGCTGGGTCAAAACAACCCAATTGCTGGGTTTGTCCCTATTTTACCCAGCACTGGGTTGTATTTAAGCCAGCATTTTTTAGAGTGTAGCGAGACTGTTTATTAAGTCAAGAAACTGTCGTTTGCGTCTCATCTGGCCATACAGCGGTGGGATGTGTTGATATTCCGTTCAGTCAGTACTTCACACAGCACAACATGTGAGGGCTCGCGCTCTTCAGAGACAATCACAGAATATGACAGAGCTAGTGTTTAAAAGCCAAACACACTGGAATGTAGTGCTGGGCGATATGACCAAAAATTTATATCACAGTATTTTTCAAAATTATACCGGTTTCACGGTACATGACGGTATTTTTTTTTCATGCATGACCGGGTGTTAACCATATTTTCTACTGATTGAGAGGAAATACTGCAGTACATTGACTTAGAATGCCCTATTCTACTGTCATGAGTGAATATTGTCAAAAAAATACCACATTAAATAGTGACTAAACACGACCCATTTTAATACATGTTAAACATGAGTCACTCTCATTTATAATCGCGGCATCGTCTGATAAAATCAACATGCATCTACACTAAAGAGCGGCTATGCGGTTGTCTCATGTGCACTGCCTGCGTCTGAGTAACAAACAAACAAAAAGTGCATGTGATATTAACAGACGAACTACGCTCATATTTATAATTCCAAACAATCAGTAAGCGACATGTGCTAGAAAACGCTGTTTTGTACTCATTTATTGATGAGTCGGCTGCGGTGCGGCTAACTGAATGCGCTGCTTCTCTGCCGCTCACTGCACAGAACAGACGCCGAGAGAGGTGACACTTCTCCAGTAAAGTCAGACCTCGCGTTCGCGGGACAGCACTGGCAAAATCTTACAACTAAAGCATTGCTAAGGTTTATTCAAAAAAGTCTTTAGGTTTGTCAGTATGAATATTCTATGGAAAAAAGCCACTAAAAGGGTCTGAAAGTTGCTAAATCTAGTGCTAAAGTCGCGCTCGTGTGTGTGTGAGACGCGGGAGCTGATGGCAGGGGCCGGTGGATATTTGTGGCGGTCAATGTGGATATTGTGGATGAGTTCTTCTGTGTCATCACGTTCTATTAGTTCTACAGCTTCAGTTTTGGAACTTTCACGCTTAGTAACACATACAGGTGTTCCCTCACCACAGTGCAACAGTGAAAATGGACCTCTTTCAAACAGTGTCGCGTTCCGAACGTTGTTTAAGTGACATATACCGGTATTGCGGTATTTCAAAAATTCATATCATAACAAAAATAAACACCGGTATTCGGTATGAACCAGTATACCGCCCAGTACTACTTATATATTGCACCTATAATCCTGTTTTCCATTGAATATAAAATCTGTTTTACTAATTACAACAAATTGTTATATTTTGCTTAGATTACATCACAGAACACAAATGCAGAACAGAACAAAGTTCTTCAGAACTTTATCCATCTTATCAATGTATGATTTTAAAACTCTTTTATGTACTTCTTTAAGTTTTAAGACATAGATTGAAGATGAAAGAGGTGGCACTACTGTATAATCATCTCCAATGCCGAAAGATTACAGCTCCTCTGGGACATTACTTGAGCCATATCTGCTGTAGGCCTACAGCATGTCAAAAAGCATTGCAATTAGGGCTGCCAACGTTAACGCGCAATCGCATGCTATTAATTTTACAATCCTTAATGCCTTAAAATAATTTAACGCAATTAACGTAAAATAAACTGAAGCACAATTTCTATTCTAAGCCTTTAACCCAATTTTGCTTCTCTTTGCTTCTTTGCTTGCGATCAGATCGTTTTAAGCCGCTGAACTCCGAGAAGGTTTTCAGTCCAATGATCCAGTAAGCGAATGCATTCATATCCGTCCAAAACAGCGCTAATATAAAGGAAACCATGCTGATTACATCCGAGATTGCAGAGAAAATAGAGACTCGCATTGCGTTTTCAGTGAATTATTCATTCCAGTAGTGCTGGGCGGTATACCGGTTCATACCGAATACCGGTGTTTATTTTTGTTATGATATGAATTTTTGCGTCTGTTCTATGCAGTGAGCGGCAGAGAAGCAGCACATTCAGTTGGCCGCACCACAGCCGACTCGTCAATAAATGAGTACAAAACAGCATTTCCTAGCACCTGTCGCTTACTGATTGTTTGGAATTATAAATATGAGCGTAGTTCGTCTGTTAATATCACATGCACTTTTTTTTGTTTGTTTGTTACTCGGACGCAGGCAGTGCACTAAAATCAGTGCACTAATTTCACTAGACAGTCAAAAAAATAATATAGCCAAAACAACCGCATAGCCGCTCTTTAGTGTAGATGCATGTTGATTTTATCAGACGATGCCGCGATTATAAATGAGAGTGACTCCTGGTTAACATGTATTAAAAGGGGTGTTTAGTCACTATTTAGTGTGGTATTTTTTTGACAATATTCACTCATGACAGTAAAATAGGGCATTCTAAATCAATATACTGCAGTATTTCCTCTCTTAATCAGTAGAAAATATGGTTAACACCCGGTCATGCATGAAAAAAAAAATACCGTCATGTACCGTGAAACCGGTATAATTTAGAAAAATACTGTGATATAAATTTTTGGTCATACACCACTAATATATAGTATGTATGTAACACTGCAAATTGGGGGTAATCGAGGAACTGGATTGAAATGCTATTTTATTCCACTTCAGTTTTGGTTTGGAAGAGCAAAAATACACAAGTTTGTATAAAGCAAGTAAAGAGTAGTATGTCATTTTATAGATACATATATTTTTTGGTAAATCATTTAGAATTATTTTAACAACAAATTCATTGTTAAAATAAAACATTGTTTTATATATTATTTTCTAAATATATTTTATAGAAAGAACCTTTTCTGAAAAGCAGCACAAAGACTAGCAAAGTTGATTGAAACCCTGGGGTTTATTTTGAACCTTAGAGAATTTTCCAGAGCACAATAAAAGTTATTTATATGCACATCAATGAACTTCAGTGGCTCCATTTCATGATTTTCAACATGCAAGATAGCAACTCACCAACAACGGTTTACCAAATGTGTTTGTAGAGATTGTGTGTCATTTTTAGAGTCATATTTTCAAGCTGGAATATTGCTGTTAGTGTTGATCAATGACTTTTGATCTCTATTTGTAATAATTTAGGAATCAAATCAACATGATTTTTGTATAGATACAAATTTTTGGATTAACATTAAAAGAATATGGACAACAAGACCTATTTTGCAATCTACACTCTGATGGAACCAAGAGGCTCCAAATCTTATCGGCATATATATTTTACATGCTTTTTGCTTCTTTATGCTTTGATACTGGTAATGAACATTTGGCTCAGTGTGGTCATTGTTTTGGAGAGAGCCCTTCATGAACCAATGTACATTTTTCTGTGCAATTTATGTATAAATTATTTATATGGAGCAACAGGATTTTACCCTAAATTCCTGCATGATTTAGTTCTGGATTCATATGTGATTCCTTCTTTTATGTGTGGCCTCCAAGCTTTTGTGATCTACAGTTCAGCTATGTGTGAGTGTACAACATTAACAGTGATGGCATTTGACAGACATGTGGCCATATGTCAACCTTTGGACTATCACTCAAAACTGACTAAAAATACATGTGGCATATTACTTGTATTCTGTTGGACTGTACCATTTATTTGTATGTTCATTGGAGTTGTGTTGTTAAATAGGTTTGCTGTGTGTAAATATCATATTGACAAATTATACTGTGACAGCTGGTCAATAGTAAAGCTCTCATGTGAATCAGTGGTTATAAATAACCTCATGGCATTGATTGTTTTATTATTTTATGTTTGTCTTACAGCTCTGATTATTGTGTCTTATATAAAACTTATTGTTGCATGTAAAGCATCTCTACAAAACAGAAGAAAATTTTGGCAGACATGTGTTCCACATTTATTTTCATTGATAAATTGTAGTTTTACTGTATTTTTTGATTCCATGTGCAGCAGATATGGCTCAAGTGATGTCCCAGAGAATGTGTATGTTGTTTTTGCCTTACTGATGCTTATATTGCCGCCTCTTTTCAATCCTTTAGTCTATGTATTAAAACTCAAAGAGGTACGTAAAAGAAGTTTAAAATCACGTGTAAATATAATAAAATAAAAAATTAATTATACTTGGCCCTGTTTGCTATTATACTCACTCAAATTGCCATATGTACAGGTAGAATTAAATTCAAAGTGATGAGGTATTTAAAAGGCATCAAATGTGCTCTTTATGTGAGTGAAAAGGTGATAGAGTTAGTCTGGAGAGGCAGATAAATTTATTTCTTTATTTTTCTCAACAGAATACCAAGTACCAATGCCAGTATCATAGAAACGATCCCACTCCCAATATGTCTGGATATAAAATACATCATTTTATATGGCCATTTAACATTACTGGATATAAAATACATCATTTAATATGGCCATTTAACATTAAACAGCCAATATTGATGCTTTAGATAAGCCTAAACTGATATCAGCCCCCCCCCCCAATTATGAACAACTATTATTAACCATATTAGAGAACATTTTAGAACGTGATCAATTATTTGTTTATTTAAAATAATTTATGCTAATTTTACTTATTTAAAGTTTTAGCAAAAAGCTTTTTGAATGCACATGCACATCCTTCAAAAACTGCTCTTTAAATCTAAGAACCAAAAGACAAATTCAGTTTGGTGTATATTTGAGATATAGATTGTATTGAATGTCAGCTTGCTTATTTTACTTAAGATAAGGATTTATAAAGTCCACATCATACAAACAAGAAACTATGCTTCTAAACTTCTAAACTTTTTGCGAATGTTCGTGGGAACTATGGTTTCAGGAAACACGTCTCATTGAACTGACTCGTGTAATGCCGATAACGATGGAACTTTCAACCATAGTTGGCTAACGATGCTTTTGGGAAACACTCGGGATTAGTTGCTTACCTGTCAGTTTTTACATATTCTGTACTTGTTTATATGACATTATTACTGAATCCCAAGATGTGAATGAATATCTTCAGACGATCTCCCAAATGAAAAAAAAGATGTTAGAATAGAAGCTCTCCACATGCAGACACACAACTCCTGATTTGCTGATTTGAGTGATTTTTATTAACAAATTTCGGGAGCATGCACAGATATCTCGCGCAGCGTCCCTTCAGTTCTGCCGCACACGTGCAAAGCGCGCGCACACACAGAGAGACGCGTTTCAGATGGCGTGCGAACACTCAGTTGATTCGTCTTTCGCATCTCCTCCTCATGTTTGAACAGACAGATACACACAGAATTATGTCAATAGCACATGTCTCGACGATCATTCTCGTAAACGCAGTCGGTTATGTTTAAAATGAATGTAAACAGCTGAGAAAGAAATCGTCTCAGGTTATGTGACCATGATTCCCTGAGTAGGGAACGAGACACTGCGTCCTCTAGGGGTCGCTATGGGGAACGCCTCGTCGTGACCCGTGTCTGAAGCATACATTGAAAAAACACCAACAATACGTTGGCCGGCGACAGCCATGACGTCACTACCGGTGTGACTATAGTATAAATAGCGCCGGGAGAACACATCATCCACTTCTTCGTCTAAAGCTTGCATCCGAAGCATTGCAAGAAACCTAGAGGACGCAGTGTCTCGTTCCCTACTCAGGGAACCATGGTTACATACATAACCTGAGACGTTCCCTTTCATGGGAACTTCGAACTGCGTCCGGTTCCAGGTACTCTGGGAAAAACAGAGAACTCAACTCTCCCGTGAGAGGAGAACTCCGAATTCAGAAGAAGTAGCGTGCTCATAGGTAAACCTTTGATAAAAGTGGAGCAATGCTCAGCACTACCACAGAACAGCCCATGGAGCGAGGAATCCAACTCCTCAGAGAGAATTAAACGCTCGAAAGAGAACACCATGCTCACAATAACCCTCAATGGTGAGGGGAGTGATGCTTCTAGAGTGTGTCAACAGAGACACACTAGTTGAGTGGAGCCCAAAGTACCGGGGTCTAAACCAACTCAGAGAAAGGGAACGAGGCTCATAACGCGTAACCCTTACCATGCAGGATTACAGAAAAGTGGACAAAGCATAACATGCACACTTACCACTTATGTGGATTTTAGAAAGTGGGCAAAGCATAACGTGCACACTTACCACTTATGTGGATTTTTAGAAAGTGCGCAAAGCTTAACGTGTGCACTTACCATAGTATGGATTTAAGAGTTTTCCAAGCATCTACTCACAGATACCCAGAAGTACTGAGCCAAACGGGAGAGGCAAGCTCAAATACAACCCTCTAAGGTGAGGGGAGCACTGCCTGAGACAGCATTACACAAGAAGGTTCTCACAAATGCCATCTATACTTCCCGCTCGATGCCTCAGCAAGAGATGATATCCTGGTGATCGGGAGGCCCCTCAGGGCGACCTAGATACGGTAGACCAGACAGGGCAGCCTGAAAGCATAAGCCCAGCCCGGATGTCCAGGAAATTTTTGCCTGATGATCAAGAAGGCTCCCGCAGAAGCCTGTGACCTGGCCGCATAATCCAGGAAGTATGAAGCTGAAACCCGGCTATCCGAAAAAGCCTCTGGTCTGGACCATCAGTAAGGTGGTCACTATGAAGCCACAGAACCAACCAAACATCATAGGTCCAGCATAGGAGACTGTAATGCATGAAAATTCCCACCTAACCTCGGTCAGGTGGAGATATGGTGGTTACAGGGGAATTAGGAAGGGGAAGATAAGGGCAGATGTAAGACCCCCGAAGGAAATTAGTAGATACTGAGGTATCACTCTGATCCGGACAAAAGCGCTGACGCCCTGT